TCCTTCTAAGAAAAACCTTTAACAAAGTTAATATTGATTACTTTAACATCCTAACATTTTCATTACACTGCAGTTATTTATATCAATCACTGTGATGTTGTTTTGGCATTCTGAACGTATATGGATTATAAGAAAAGCATGGCACATGAACTGAGTGAACAGGTCTCAGAGTATTTCAGACTATTGCACTCCCCCTTCTTCATTTTATATATACAACACATTTCTTAGAATGAGATGTGATCAGTAGGAGTGGAATTTCCATTCTGGTAAAGCCCCAGTAAAGTGAGCACATGAATGATTATTTATCATAGAAGTGTGTTGCATATCTTGACATATCCTTTTCAAGTGCTCTTACTGGTGAGGCAAAAGCAATATTAGACTGAATACCACTGAAGTTTTCCCACAAAAATTACCTCTTCTAACTTTCCAGAATAAAAAAGCAATTTATGAAACCACTTCACTTGCACTACAATAGTATTTGAAGAACTTTTCACCACCTTAGATACAAGGAAATGTACCAATTCATTGGCCATTTTCCAGCTGATTGAACATGGAGCACTAGAGCCATCGTGTAAATGTCCCCTGCCTCGGCTGTGGCAGTCCAATGGTTCTCATTCTGGTTGCAAGACTGGTTGTGGGACAGGAGCTCTGTTGGAGCAGAAGGAAAATGTATGCAATTGCCTTCCACTTTCGATTAGGTCAGTGTCGGCAAACCTTTTTCGGCTCGAGTGCCCAAAATGAGGGAGTGGGGAAGAAGCCAGTGGCTGCTGTGCTGCCCGGAAGACCAGAACCGGAACAGGAAGTGGCATTTTCAGGGGGAATCATGGGGATGGACAGGAAGTTAAAGGATCCAGAACAGGAAGAGAAAGGGGGAATTCCAGCTGCAGCCACTTCAAAAGATTTGTTTTCACAAGGGTGGGTGAGTGGGCCACTGACTCACGTGCCAGAAGAAAGGGCTTCGCATGCCAGATGTGGCACGCATGCCCTAGGTTCACCATCACTGCATTAGGTTATTAAATTTTGTAATATTTCTAGTAGTGCAGTCAGTGCCCCCATTCTGATCAGCTGGGTAGGAACACAGGAACACCTGGAGACCATGTCATTATTTTCATAAACTTGAAGGACATAGCCAGTATATGGTATTGTAAGAGGTCCTGCTCTGTTCTCAGATTATTACAAGCTGTTAGGAACTTGAATATCCCTATAGGAACATGGCCATTTCCCTTTCTCCACCCAAGTTCTGAAATCTTTCTTTAATTTTTTTTTGAAAATTATTTATTTACATTACATTTTTATGCTGCCTTTTTCCCAATGAAGGTGCCTCAAAAATTATTAACAAAAACAAAAACCAACTATAGCTGCAGTAAATTATGACATCAAAAAGCAATTAAACACAAACAGTATTAAAACAATTAGTTAAAACTGTTTAAATGTCTTTAAAACACATTAAAAACACATACAAAATAGCAAAGAGAACAATATCCAGCACACAGGATCATAAATGGCCTAATTAGTTGTTAAAAGCCTGTCTAAAAAGAATGGACCTGGCCTGCCACAGTAGCGAAGGAGAGTAGTGAGGGGGGCAAACCTAGTCTCCCAAGGAAAGGCTTTCTACAGTCTGAGACCAGTCACAGAGAAGATCCTCTCTCACATTTTCACCACATATATTTGTGAAGGCAGTGGCACTGAGAAAAAGGAATTTCCTGAAGCTCTTAAGAGACAAGAAAGCTAATTTCTTCTCTTATTCCAGGCTAGCTGGGACTGAAAAAGGCCACACCAGTTAGAGCATGTTTTCCCAACTGGGGGTAGGGCGGTCGCAACCCACCAAGAGGGTTAACAAGGTGTTTTCTGGGGGATTGCCACGGTTATTTTTAGCTGTAATTATTTTAATATTTATTATATTAAATATGGTATACACAATGCTGTTTTATTTTAATCCTTTTGACCCACAGGGGCAACCTAGAGTTCTTTTTGTAACCCATTTGGGCAGATTTTCCTTTAATGCATGCCCATCACTCCTAGCTCCTTTTGCTTGCTTCTCTCTGCTCCTCCACCTGTTTTTGTTTTTGTTTTTTTGAGTACTGATGTCAGCCCTTTGGACCTGAGTGTTTGCCTAGCTTGAAGAGTCCTGAACGAGGTGAGTAAGCGGTGCACACTAGGAACACCCACGTCCAAGATGGTGGCAGGATTGAAAAGTGGTTGTTGCAGTAGTGGCAGTGGCGTCTTTGGCCCTGCCCAAGTCTCCCACTCTTCCAGGTGTGGCAAAGGGAGAGGGACTTGGGCGGGGAGATGCCTCTGGGCCCCACCTGATTTATGAAGGAGAAAGGCAAGAGAGGAAAGAAGTGAGGGAGAAGAACTGGGGTGAGGCCTGTGACATGGCCCATGGGTGGTGATGTTCGTTGGGGCTTGAGAGGCAGGAGCTCTTCACTTAAGAGGCTTTTTTGGGGGAGTGAGGCAAGAAACATTTCCACCTCGTAAAAAAGTAAATTAATGCCTACTATGTTGTAAAACAATTTACTACAATCTAGCAAAAACAATTACAACAAAGCAATTGCTTCTGCATACTGTGAGGATTCCCCTCATATGTACACAACTGCTATTAAAAATTCTCTGTTAAAAAAAAAGATATTCAAAAGCCAGCTTATTGTGGACTGATTGAGGTCATGAGACACTGAGTCTTTGGGCTGGAAATAAAAGAGGAATGTAAGAGGATTCGTTTCATAGGATTCCCAATAGTTTATGGCATCCAAAGGGGGCAGCTATGGGTACCTCACTGAACTCCTTAGATAAAGATTCTATAAACTGTTAAGGCAGGAAAGTAGTCCCTGGGGGGGAAACCCACTGTGTTTAATGTAGCTTCCAAGTAACTGAAAACTGAAGCCTTGATCTGAACAGTATTGTCAAGATTACCTAGACATATTTTCTACCATTTCATGCTGCACTGTAATGGGTGTTTTTAATTAGTAGCACCACTGTTCCTCAAAGACACAATAATTAAATACATATTCAATAGCATAAGAGATCAGCAAAAACAGTTTCCAAGAAGCTTAATGGGATTTAAAGGTGGAAGTTGCAATCTAAGAACATCAGGGCGTGGGTAACTGTCAGCTGAAGCCTTTGGCCACTCTTGTTTTCAAGAACTCTGATCAAATCAATCACTGGGTGTAGGAGGGAAGAAGCAGTATCTCTGCTGCTAATTAATTCCGCTCTGATGACCCTTAAGCTATAAAGGAAGCAGAGTCTTAAAATTAAAACTATCCTGGAAGACGGAACAAACCTAAGGGGATGTGTGTCCTCATCAGGCATGTATATATTACGAATTCCACATTGTCTTTCAAACTTTCATATAATGTAATAAAGAAAAGAAGGTACATATGATCCACACTCATAATTTGCCATCCACATTTGCAGTTTTTTGTTCACCTTCCCTCAAACCTCAGCATTATAAGGAAATGGCACCATAATGTTATACCACTGAAGCTTCAGATATGGTGGGAAGGAAAAGAAATCATCTAGTCTCAGAATCAGCAGTTTGACATTGTTGTGCCATGGGCACATCACAGTATATTTTCCATGTTTGTGATTCCTTGCTGGACCTCAATTTACATTCCATTCATTATATTAATCTATTGACCTATGTATATATATTTAACCTATTGACCTATGTATATCCAGCATGACAATGAGTGTTGCCTTCGGACTTTTTTGCTCCTCCTCTTTCCCCCTGAAGCTCTCTCGTAATGAAACTCTCAAGGGTGGCTGCACTGGGGCAAAAGATTGTGTCTGCAATTATTCAGTTATAATGGCAATGGATATAGCTAACAATGGGTGCAGCTTGTTAGATTTATTTTTGTTTTTTCTTCATATCATTAAATAGCAACTGTGTGCCATCATTGATACCAACTTCCGGTGTCCCTTCTCAGGGTTTTCAAGGTATAAAAATGTGGCTTACCATTCCCTTCTTCTGTAGGCTCTCTGACACTATGCAGCTTATACAAGACCAAATAGGTTTGTTTGTTTTCCAGGAGCCACAGTGTGAAAATCAAACTTTGAACTGGTGCTTCAACTCCAGTGAGCTATCCAGTCAGCTGGGGGCAGGGGGCGGGGGAGTAATCAGCTTTAAATCACTAGAATTAGAAATCTCAGATGGCAAAACACATTTGCACTTAGAGGAAGACAGCAGGTGGCCAGTATCACATCCCCTGTTTCACAAGCTCAGTTAATGGATGGTACTGGATAATTTCTTTCAATTTTCCAGAATACCTTCCATATGTCAATGTGTGCAAATGGTCTGAGCTGTACTTTTAATAGGTCATATGACCATAATAAACTAACTCATTTTGAAGCTAAGCATTCACCTGTGGGATGTCTGACAAGTTATACTTTTTCTACTTGTTCAATCATGTCCTGCAGCATCACGTAGTACATAAGCACCTTGAAAACTTAAGGGTACCTTGTTTTTCTTTAAAATGTTGCCATAGCACACACACTGCAAGCCATTAAGTACAGCAAAATAAAACCAAAAATAAAAACAGAACAAACAACCAGAAAACAACACCACCACCAACAAAACCAATCCCCGATAAAGCTAGGTTAGTTTTATCTGTATAGGTCCTTTAAAATCAAGATTATCTGGAAGAAGCAGCAAGGGGTTAGCAGGGAGGAGATGAGAATGTACGAAACGTTTTCCTCCTAACTCAATCAGACCCAGCTCCCTCTTCCATCTCTCTCCTACCAGTTTAGCTGTCAGCTGAAGCCTTTGGCAGGACTCATAAAAAGAAGCAGCAAAACTCCCCGGGTGTCTGTAGGGAAAATCCAATCGATTTTAAGAATTTAAAGATTGCATTCCCCATCAAGATAGGCCTTTTTAGGTCTAAGCCTTCTGAGAAGTAATTGTATTTAGTCAGTGGTATCAACAGAAAAATATCCCAAAGCTTTGTGGCTGATTATTGCCTTCCTCTCCGCCTATGTCTTTACTCAGAAGTCTGGTTGAGACTTACTCCAAAACAAAAACGCAAAGCGAGTTCACTCTCGGGTAGACGCGCCTGGCACGGCAGCCTCATGACACATCGAAACGTTTCTGTGGCTTCAGTTCCTGGCAGGCTGGCATCGATTTTGTCATGGGACACTGCACATGTTGCCCCCCCCCCCACGCACCACTACATTCCAGGTGTCCAACGAAGGAGTTTCCAGGGCGGGCAAGCTGAGGGCACTACGTTAAGCACTACGGGGCTCTTTATGGCGGGCAACCAGGCGCGATTCTTATTCCAGAAACACGATCACGTCTCCTTCCTCTCCTCCCACTCCACGATTTCGGGCCAGCCCCTATTCTCTCACACACACGCGCGCGCGCCCGCTGTGATGGATCTTTCAACACCACCAATAAAGCGGCAATCCTATGCACACTTCCCTAGGAGTAAGCGCCCTTGAACCCGGTGGGACTTACTTCTGATGAAGCAGGCATAGGATGGCGCTGCGCCTCTGCACTAGGATCGCGCGCTCTTTCCCGTTCCCGTTCCCTTCTCTGTCGAGGCATTTCCAACTACGATGCCATCGAACCGAACCCCCTCGGCATCACGTGGGTCCCAACAGGCGCTCCTAACCCCCTTTTAAAAGCAGGACGATCCACCACCACCACCACCCGCAACCCCAAATCAAGGGATCGCAGCCTTCTCCTTCCGAGCAGGGCACGCGCCCGGTCCAGACCTGGGTTCCACTCCCCACAGAGCTGCTGCTTCGCCTCCTCTTCTTCTGTTCTCCCCCCACTTTTTTAGCGCCCTCCCAAACCAATAGAAAGACCCCCCCCTCATCTCTCTCATAATCCCCGCCTCATTAGGAGCGGTCTTTCCCTCCCTGCAAGACCGCAGGCGCAAGCCGAGCGGAGCCAGCTCGTGGATTGC